AATACTTTGAAAAAAATTTCAAATTGTAATTCAGACAAAAATTAAATCCCAGGATTTCAGGATCCCGGGGCTGCAAACCCTCGTATTCAGATGGATTAAAAAAATATTGCAGAGGTTGCAGTTCTCTCTTCTGGACGAAGAACACACAGGAAGGCCACGGCCGGCAGTAATTCCAGATGACGTGTCTGCCATACGAAAAATATTAGTGGCTAATAATCACTGTACCTACCAAATGATACAAAAAGAATTTAATCACTCAGGAATCAAAACAAATTTATTCAAGAATAAATTCATGAAAACAAATTTATTCATGTGAAAAATAATTTGCCGTTGGGTTTCCCATAGTCTAACTGAGCATCAAAAGAGGAGCGTGTCAGAATCAGTGCAGAAACCCTTAAATTGTTAAATGATAGTGGCCACCGTATCATTTCTAAAACTGTAACGGGTGATGAAACGTATATACTGTTTTGTGACGTTCCAACACATCAAGAAAGCAAAGTATGAGTCTTTGAAGATAATCCCAAGTCAACAATGGCGAAAAGATAACAGGCAATGAAAAAAAATAATGTATGCTGTTTTCTTAAGAAGTACGGGATTGGTCAAAGCCATCAAGTTGGAAGGACAGAAGACAGTAACAACAAACTGGTATACTACTAAATGTCTTCCACAAATTTTCTAAGTGAATGTTAGGAAATTAATACTTCACCATGACAATGCATCTTCCCTTACAGCCGGAGTAACAGTTGAGTTTCTTAAACAAAAACCAATTAAAGTGATAGAACTTCCACCTTACTCTCCGGATTTAGCTATGTGTGAATTTTGGTTATTTTTTAATTTAAAAAAGACCTTATGTGGACGTCGTTTTCATTCAGAAGAGTTTTATGTGACAAAAAATGCATTTTTTCATCAATTCCCAGAAATTTAAGGCAATTAATCCATCGAAAATTTGTTTACAAAAGTGCATTGATGCTGGAGAGACTACTTTAAGCACTCCAAAAATTCTATGACTTTAAAAACCTAGATGTATCTCCAAAACTTTCAGAATGACCCTCAAATTTAATCAGAAAACTAAAAATGATTAAAATACTTGAAAGAGCCTTCCTTTTTATTTTGTCAAAATTAATATATGTATGTCATAAAAAGTATTTGTCCCTCTAAAACAATAGAAAAAAACAAAGATATTCACGAAACAAAAACTTCTCAAAACTTAGCAAAAAATCTAAGTATTTTACATAATAAGCATTGTTCTTTTATTCCTCGTCTTTGTCACATTTCCTAAAATCGAATTAAATGATTCAACATGATAATAACAATGTTGATTCATTCATATACCTTCCATTTTAAAAGTCAAATCTGACAATGATTCTTCAAGAGATGATAAAGTGCAAAAAGTTTCTAGAAATTTTACAAATACAAGGCTTTTAGCTTTTATCCTTAAAACTGAATTTTGAGAAATAAACTGTTATAAATATCGCAAACTTAATTTTTTTGCTTGATATGTATATGTGAATGCACATTTAAGACACTTCTATGAGAAAAGCCTTATTATAGATTTCACAAACATGAGGCTTTTTCTTTGTATGAATACGTAAATGTCTTTTTAAATTATATCTTTGACAGAAAGCCTTATTACATATTTCACAAACGTGAGGCCTTTCCTTGGTATGAATAAGCAAATGTCTATTTAAATCACTTCTTTTACAGAAAGCCTTATTACATATTTCACAAACATAGGGCTTTTCCTTAGTATGTATACGTAAATGTATATTTAAGTAACTACTTTGAGTAAAAGCCTTATTACAGATTTCACAAACATAAGGCTTTTCTTCGGTATGAATACGTAAATGTCTTTTTAAACCCCCACTTTGATAGAAAGCCTTGTTACATACTTCACAAACATAAGGCTTTTCATTTGTATGACTACATAAATGTCTTTTTAAATCACTTCTTTGATAGAAAGCCTTATTACATATTTCACAAACATGAGGCTTTTCTTTAGTATGTATACATAAATGCTCATTTAAGGAACTACTGTGAGAGAAAGAATTGTTGCATATTTCACAAACATGACACTTTTCATTGGTGTGAATACGCAAATGACTTTTCAAATTACTAATGTTATCAAAAGCCTTGTTACATATTTCACAAACACAAGTCTTTTCTTTAGTGTGAATACGTAAATGTCTTTTTAAATGACAACTTTGAGAGAAAGCCCTGTCACATATTTCACAAACATAAGGCTTTTCCTTGATATTACTATGCAAATGTCTTTTTAAATCAAATTCTCTATAGAAAGCCTTATTACATATTTCACAAACATGAGGTTTTTCCTTGGTATGTAAATGTAAATGTTCATTTAAAGAACTATTGTGAGAGAAAACCTTGTTGAATATTTCACTAACATGAGGCTTTTCCTTGGTATGCATACCTAAGTGCACATTTAAAGACCCACTTTCAGAAAAAGCATTTTTGCATTTTCAGAAACATGAGGCTTTTCCATCGCATTAATATATTAATGTCTTTTTAAAATTCCAATTTCACAAACAGACATGAGGTTTTTCTTTGGTATGCATACGTAAATGTACATTTAAGGCATCACTATGAGAGAAAGCATTGTTTTGCCTCTTTCACAAACATAAGGCTTTCTTTAGGTGTGAAAGTGTAAATGTCTATTTAAATTACCACTTTAATAGGAAACATTTTGCATATTCACAAACATGAGGGGTTTTCTGGGAACGCATATTTATATATCCATCTTCTATTTTTTTTAAATCCTTTATTTTTTGTTATAGACATCTTAAGAGTTTTTCAATACTTCTGATTTTCTTTCTTGAGTTGGTTTAATTCAGGAATTCTGCAGGTATCATAATTCTTGTATTCCTGTAAAAATAGAAATAATCATGAATATCAATACTGAAATTATGAAAAAATGTATAGTGCAGTAAGTATATGTAATAAAAAAACGTCACATGCGTTCTAATTTTCATAGATTTCAGAAAAACAATTCGTTTTTTCAATCCAATGACACGACCTCTTTCAAACACTGACAGCTGCTCCCAATGAACTTGAATCTTTTGGCGAGGCATTTTTTCAGTCCTTGAAAGGTATCGTAAATCGCAATGCAAAAAAAACTTTGACCATCAGATTAAGAATCGCTTCTTATAGACACCTCCTGTGTGCGCAGTTTTGATGCACTGCAGTTCCCGCTATTCATTCATTGGACACCAAATTTTAATCATTTGCACGTTCAGTACAAATGTCTTTGCTTGCAAAATCTCATTACAATCAGTCAATTCCTTCTTGGTGCATTATTTTTTTTTTTGTTGTTGTTATAGAGTGCATTACAATACAAGAATTTTTATAATACATTAAAACAATGATAAAAAGATATCTTAACTTAATCTGATTGATTTGCAAGTAGTTACCATATGATTCACGAGATCATTTTGAGGAAAATGTAATGATAACAATCCAGAAATTTTTTTTATCCTCTTTTGCTAAGAAATAAACAGAAAATATAAATTAATGTACTTTATACTGATGTAGGCAATATTTTTAATTACCTATATCTTGTTTACATTGTTTAATATTTGTTCAAAAAAGCTATCATTTATATGAACACTTATGTCTGATATTTATTAACTTATTCTTTTTATTTGTTTTAATGCATTATATATTTTTGTTTAATCTTATAGAATTGCATCTACATAAGGTAAGATTGGATATAGCTTTCAGAAATTATAAAAATATGTCTTGATTGTATTCAATTAAATCTGACTTTGATCGATTAAATGAAGGCCTTTTTTACTCAAAATAAAAATCGATGTAAACTAGAACAAACCAATCAAATATAGTTTGCAGGAGTATTAAGTGAAAAAAATTTAATAGGATATTTTTTTAAAGTATATTGTATTAAATGATCTAATAACATAAAATAAATTAAAAATAATGTCCCTGAGTTTTTTTTTTTTTTTTTTGGTTTTGAATAATTTTTCCACAAAAATTAATGTTATAAATGAATACTGAATAACTATCATATCATTAACTTGATTGGAAAAGTCCTCAGAAATCAATATACATATTACATCTTTATTTTTACAGAAAAGTTTTAAAACTAAATCATTATAATGATAAACCAAAGGAAAGGAGAACAAAATTTTCCTACAATATGTTATATTTTATTAAAATTACCTTTTAATAGAAAATTATATCAAAAACAGTAATTTTATAAGTAATGAGTCATTTTTCAAGACATTCTTTTTAGAAAACTGTTTTGGAACTACTGTGGAATTTAAAGCAATATTACGTTTATATAATATGTGTGGAAATAAATTTATACATCCTCATATAATACAATATTTATAAAACATACTTGGTTATTAAAAAAATGTTAATACTGTAAGAGTCCCAGTTGTCTTTTCATTAAGATAAAATGTGCCTGAAATTAAATTATCTACCATGTCAATTGATACACAGAAATTTTGATGAGCTTTAATAATTTTTCTATTATTCTTTCTAGGACCATGCACAAATTTTTTTTAAAAAATAATTTGTAAATAAACTGGTTTTTAATGTAGGCAACCCCCTTAAAATAATGAAACATGTAGTTTAAGAAGAGAAGAATGAAAGTAATTTCCCTTTCCACAAATTACTTCTCACAGAAGATGCACAAATAATCTGGTAGTAATTAATCTATACAAAATTTAAACATAAGCAAGTAATATAAAAAAATTAAGTCAATTCCTACTTAGGTCAACAGAGAAAAATTTTATATTTTAGTTAATTTTTATTAAACAGTTACATTTAATATAAATATGCATATGCATATGACAGAATCACAAAGAAAGCAATTTTACATGCAATATATATATATTCTTTTTTCCTTTCTATATATGGTGTTGGACTATTTTTTTGTTTCTTAGAATTTATTCATAAATTAAATTTAATAATTCTAATAAAATAGTATAGTAAAAAATGAATCACATTTTCAGAAACTAGGACATCCCAGGTGGGATTCGAACCTACAAACTTTGGATTAAAAGTCCAACATGCTATCCATTGCACTACAGGGATACAACAAACGATTTTCCTTTCTATTTATGCTGTTGGACTTATGTTTGTTTCTTACTGTTTATTCCTTTTTAATTTATTTAATGAATTTATATTTGAAAAAACTGTATTAACATCAAGTTTCATCCACTAGAAGTTTAAAAAAATATATTTGAACATGAATGGATGAATAAAAAGTATTTTTTAATTATTCAAAATTTGAACGATATATATATATATATATATATTGGGAGTGAGTGAACTAATAGCAGGAATTGAAAAAAAATAATAAACTAATGTTTTTCATTTACCATAGTGAGAAAAGTCAGCAAAACTCACATTCAAATCAGTAAGACAAATCCTAAATTAAATATACTTTAATATTTCTTCTTTCAACGTTATTAAATGCATTGAATGAAACTGTATTAAACATTGCATAAGAAAATCAAATACTTTATTTCGATTTAATCATAGATATAGTAACCAAAAGGAAATTCAAATGAATTTAGCATGGCAAAATTTATATCTTGATTTTCAGTAAATTCCTCAAAATATATATTTAAATACATTATAAATTCAATTTACATTATATGCATCAATTTATTTTCATTTAATACAAGCAATTCATATTGGTACTAAGGTTTAAATCGAATAGTTAATTCAACAAATAATAATAATAATATACTTCATTCTAAAATTCAGATAAATGTTTGCATAGTCAAAAATGTAATATAAAAGAGGAAAAAATGTTGAGCATATCTGTGTGTCACAATTTAAGTCTACAATTTTCTCAGATTGATTATGAACTATTTTTTAATAGCTTAGCACTCTAAAACTCAAATAAATATCTGTTTATAGACTCATTTTTAAAACTTTGTAGCGAACAAAATTACATTGAAATATGTATGTTTAAAAAATCATAAAGATGACATCTGTATGACAATGGACAGCATAATGTAAAAATTCAGCTATTATTTTTTGGCATTTACAATGTTAATCAACAAAAGTTTGTTTTCACAACTAATAAAATGCTTTTAATTTATAAGAAAATTTCTTATACTTTCCTCTTAAGATGAATGAAATAATTGATAAATGTAACTTTTTAATTGTGTTTTTATAAAAATGCTTTTATAATTCATCCTATTTTAATTCATTTAATTAGGTGAGATGCATCCTCGTTATTTGACTATCATTCGAACTTACAAAGTCCATCCTCAATACATTGCATATTACTTCTAAATGAGATAGCAATAAACTACCTATTAGTCTACAGGTTCTTAAAATACATCCCCTATGAAATGCTTTAATTTTTAAAAGAACACTTCGATAGTAACATGAAAAAATAGACTGTTCTGAAACAAAATTATAACTACCACATATCTTTAAGTCAGCTGGAAGTAAATCTTGCACTATCTCAGTAAACTTGTTTATGTAAGAAATAAGGTATTCCTATTTATATCTAATTGCTTATCTTCTGAATAATGTTAGAACATACTTGCACATTAATTTCTTTGCCTTTATATAAAGATAGCTATATACTCAATTTTTGGATAGAAGATAAACTTGTTATAAAATTAAAATTGTTTTTATGCATCAGATAGCATGATATTGCTTGTATTTTAAAATTAGTCAGAATTTTTTTTGTATTAACAAAAAAAAAAGAAAAAATTTACAGGAAAAAAAATAGTTTAGAAAATAAATGTCGATTTCGTCGAAAAAAATTTCGATTTATTTGTAAATGTAATCTTCCTCTTGTTAGGAAGTGTGTTAACGCAATTGTGTTTTAAAATATGTAGCACAGAAAAGAAAATAAACCCAACAAAAAATAAATTAAAGTTATTTTGCTATTCATTTAGTAATGAAAACCTAAATAAGAGGAATTCCTCCAGCAGTTTCATAGGAAATGAGATACCCTCTTTCTACAGTTTTATGATGGCAGTTAAGCCATACAAAAAATTCATAATGACCAAATTTTTCTGAAAGAATAGTACTCTGTTCACTTGAAAGCACATATCTCCTGTTTTTAACAATAAAGGTTTACAAGAAAACAGTTGCACATTTCTAAGGTTTCTTTACAAAAATAAGGTATACAGAAATCAACAATAGTACTCTGGTCATCTGAAACCGTTTATAAGATGTCTCTCATGTTAATTTACAAGGGAATCGTTTTTTCCCTGTCTGCAATGATTGAAAACAATTTACTAGCAATGTGATTTTGCATTCAAAGCTTCAAACATTTAATAAGATAGGCTTAGACCAGCCTCAAAATACAATTTCTTTTCCAGATGTATTATCTCACACAAACAGAGTGACTAATGATAGTTTTTTCAAAAAAGGCTGCAAAAGCCTTCCTTTGTTCATTCTTTTTCAGGTGCAATTTAGTGCATTTTGAAAAAATTTTCATAATAATGAGTGAGTACATTTATTATTTATATTCACTTATCTTTTTTTTTTTTTGTACTCTTAAAAAAAGTAGTGTATTATAGTTAGGAAAAACTTCTCGATGCTTCAAAAATAGAGAAATTTTACACAATAGAACTACAAAAGTGAAATATGCACCAAAAGTAAGCCTTTCCATCTTAATTGAACTTTTTTTAAATACATCAAGGCATTTTTCCAAAATTTAAAAATTAAAATAAAATTATTGATGGCTTTACTTTTAGTTTTTTAATTTCAAAGCTTTAATTTTTACTTATCAATCATTATATGACAAAAAAAAAATTTTAAATTTTAAGCATTTTATAAAAAAACAAAAATCATAAAACTAAAATATTCAATTTCAAAAATTCCCTATAACTATGTGTGTAATTTTTCAGTTTTTAGAATTACTGGTATGAACAAAATATTGTGTAACAAATTATGCTTTGTAGAATTTTTTTGGTACACTTTGATTAATCCAAATAAATTCAATAGTTATTAAATTAAACACAATGCACTATATTTTAAAATGCTTATTTTATTCTAGTATAAATATTCATTGTGTTTTAAATTTTTGTTTTCCTTGTAGAGTAATGCTATTTAAACAAGATTTTCTCTAATACTTAGAAAAATAATTCTATGTAGAAAAAATGTATAATTATTTAATAAGTCAAAGAAAACAAAGAATTTTAATAAAAGTTATGAATTAAATGCTGCTTCAGAATATATTTTTATTATTTCTGAAATATTTATTCAAATAAACTTAAGAAATTAATATATTTTTGCTCAATTATGTAAAAACAAAATTGGAATTTTTCAACTCATAATTAAAATTTTCCATTTAATCATTCAAAACACATTCATAAATTTAAACAGCTCACAACAGCAATATTTTGAATATAATGTGCTAACGTAAAATCAAAATTGTTTTTAATGATTTTAACAGAAGTTTATCTTCCAAACAATTTTCTGTGTAACAAATAAATTATGGACAAACTTAGGTATTAGATTAAATCCTGTTCTTTGTTTCCTAGCTCCAAACAAAATAAAAAAAATTCCTTACAAATCAATTACAAGCTTTTCAATCTCTTCAGTGTAGTTTCATCTTTCCTGTTTTGCCCTTTTTTAAAAAAATAAAAAATATATATAAAGAAATAAATTCCAAAATGATAGTTAAAGAGAAAAAATCATGAGAATAAATAAAGAAAGAATGATATAAAGAATAAATACCAAAGTGAGGAAAGGAACATAAGAGTGAAAAAAGAAATTCTAGTTAAGTGTGAAAGATAGTCTTTCTATACATAAGACTGGTCAAGAAATTGATGGTCATGATTCTAATAGGAACCATAATGATCTAAAAGTTGTTCGAAGAGCAAATAACTGTTTGTAACCATTCTAAAGGGTTGTTCCTTTTGGTGAAAGTATCGATCAGCTGTCCTCTAAAGGTAAAGTCAGCCAAGATAAAATGTTTCATAAAATTAGATTTAAAATCCCTTATCTTTATAAATCCTTTGATACACTCTCTAGTCTAGTTAAAACAGAAAAAGTGTAGCAGCAAATATTCCCTTATATAACATAGGTGAAAAATGCTCATTCTATTGCTATAACTTTATGGAAATCAAAACATAATGAATTAGAATACATGCACATGTAAGGTACATAATTTGTTCAATACATGTTTTTTAGTCATAAATTAACTGATAATACAGGATTCTAGCAATTTATGTTAATATTAAGTAAGTGACATTTTCATGTGAGTTTCTAAATCATACAGACATTTATAAGCTTAATTTTAGCAAGAGAAAGAAAATCCATTCAGATAAAAAAAAATTGCTTGAATTTCAGAAAAAGCTGAGTTCAAATATTTCTTTAGATTTCTGGATTGGCACTCATAAAATGAAATCTGAGTAGCCTTGGCATATTTTTAAGTGTACACATGATAATAGCCAAACACATTAACCTATCACAAATTTATATTTATATATTATATCTCTGATTATTTCCTTGATCAGAATTTTTCCTTTCTTAAAGGTATGCTTTGAGTTCAATGAAACGTAATACATTTGTGGAATTCATTAGTTGCACAAAGAGAATTGCTTAATTTTGTTTAGAAATATGCCCAATAAACATACATTTTTATTTTATGAAGTTTCGCTTCCCAAATAGTTTTAGAGATTTTCTATGTAATTGTTTGCTTCTGACAAAATTAAAATCATTTTGGAATAAAACAGTACCAAAGAGCTGAAAAGATGGATAAGTATTTTTGCCAACTCAAAAAAGTTGCCAACAAATTCAAACATTTCTTTGGGACATAGACAATCAAAAAGTTTTTTTTTTTTTGTACCAATACATAAACATATATACAAAATTCATAAAATGCTCTGTTTCAATATCCTACTTTTAAATTTAGCAATGTAATTACAAATATTCAAAATACAAATGTACTATTATATTCATGAGATACAAGAAACCACATTCAAAGAAATTGATGCAAAACATAAGTATTTTAAATGTACTGTTTTTTGAATGAAAAAAATTACATTCAAATTAAAAGTTTATTTTTTAATGTAGCACTTTTAGAATCAGACAAAGAGGTGCTGAAGTTA